TAAGGTGTAGGGTCAGAGAAAAAGAGGAAGACCCCCAACGAGATGGATTGGCCAAGTGGCAGCATCGATGGACTCAAGCGTGACAACAGTAGTGAGGTTGGCCCAGGATCCGGCAGTGTATCGTTCTGCTGTGCATTAGGTCACTATGGGTCGGTACCGACTCGATGGCACCTAACAATAACAACAATTTAAACATACATATACATATGAGTAAATAAATGGTGGAAAGATGACACCAAGAATACGATTCAAATTATTCTTTGCGTCATCTAATTTTTAAATGACCATGGGTATTGTTTCTTTGAAAAGTGCTAGAAGAAGTCAAGAGAAAGACTAGAATTGGAGGAAGGAGTGCAATGACTCAGAACCCCACACCCATTGAGAGAGCCCAATTTAGTCATGTGACTTATGGCCCCATTACCATTCCACAGGAAGTTTGCATGAAGGGGCTTACAGACAAACCTGAGCGAGAACCTCTGTGGCATATGTTTGCAGTGATATAATTTCTACATTCTCTTTCTTGGACATCTTAGAGGACCACTTGCTTGGATCATATCTGGGAAGTGTGAAAACATTCCATGTAAAATCATGGAGTATTTCTCTAGATAGAACACTGGACAAAGGGAGAAAGGTCTAAGAAAGCCTCTGCCCTAACCTGGGGACACTGTACAATGAGTCTATCTGCACTCTGTACCTCATTCAGGTACTGCATGCAGCACTTTAAAGAGCTGAATCAAAAGGCGCCCAACAAGACAAGCAGACATCTACCAATGCTAGACTGAAGAGCTCCTCCTCTTAAACAAGGCCCTTGTGTTAGTCCCTCTGATGTCAAAAGGAAATATCCATTGTCCCGACAATGTGCACAGAGTGTGATGTGTGTTACTGTTGTTAAGTGCCGTCGAGTCAGTTCCGACCCATAGCAACGCTAAACAGGGTTTCCGAGGCTGTAAATCTTTACGGGAGCAGAAAGCCTCATCTTTCTCCCGCGGAACACCTGGTAGTTTCGAACTGCTGACCTTGCAGTTCACAGCCCGATTCATAACCACTATGCTACGAGAGCTCCTTAGAGTGTGATGTTTGGCTTTGACCAATTTCTATGCTCATAGATCAGTGTCTATCCTTAACCATACAAACACAAACATGCCCACACACTGCCTTTTTCAGAAGCCATATTTGAGTTGGGATTTCATTTTCTCAAGCACCATGTGGGACCTTGGCAGCAGAAGCTCCCAAGCTGAGAGAATGAAGTCAGCTTCTCTGTTTCTCAGAGAAGCACTCCAATTACTCTGAGCCAAATCTGGGTGAGCAGTTATTTGTACACAAATGCCATTGATGTTGATGGTGATTTGGAATGCAGCACTGAAAACAGCATTCAGCCCACCGAGTATAATCCTTTAAATCTCTATGGTAATTCAGTCTCAGCAGTGTCTGGACCACCCAGAAACCACTGATTGCATGGATCCCATCAAAGTCTGTCCACTTCTTCAACAGATTTCTCTTTGAACCTTTAGGCTCTTTCTTCAGCACAATGTCAAACTGATCATCTCAAAGTCAAACTGGGTAATTTTCTCATCTGACATCTTGAGGTACATTAGAAATTCAGATGGTAAATAGCATATGAAATGCAACTGGTTTGGATTGTGCTGTGACCAGTGGTATAGAAATAACATCTGATTTTAGAGCGTTCTGTGATTCTAAGACTAGTCATCACATCAGTCTTCATGCATAATTTCTGGTACCATTTTATATGTTAATAGAAGTTTCTTATGCCAGGAAAACTATATGTATGAATGCATTATGCTTACCTAACTCCAAATATACATATCCAACATGCCTTTCTCATAAATGTAACCTAGTGTCTATATGGATTATTGTAGGAAAATCAAGCCTCAAGAAAGGGTCAACTAATTGAGAAGGAAACCATGGATACCATCAATCATGCAACTCAGCTTATGGAGCAAACCCATGAGATGAGGGATAAAATCCAAGGTAAATAAATTATCTTCTGATTCAGCTTAATGTAAAGGGACCGTTCATATTTTGAACAATAAGAATAATGTCTAGCATCAGCACTTTCCTATGTGTCAGGAACTATTGGGAGAGCATTGGATGTTTAAACTTATAGGAGGAGACTTCAAAAAGTTTGGGGGAAATAGAATTATAAAATAATGAAACTTTCCCCTTTGTATAAGGTCTTCATTTCAGGTTTATTTTTCTGGGTTTTCAGAACACTCATTCCGAGTTGCTAGATGTTGATTTTCAAGAGTAAATGTCCAGAATCATTCCCATTTCAGGCATTTCACAGAAGTGGGATGTCCAGCAGAGGAAATTGTATGATATGGTTTCCCTAAAATGCTATGGTTGAGTAGGCATTGCACATCATTCTCAGATATTTACAGAGAAAACATTGCCTTTATTGAATGGCAATAAACTGCCAGCTAATCTAAACCATCATAAGTTGTTTGGATTTTTGCTCTTTCCCAAGGATCAAGCAAGTAATATACTCTGGGTTCCCAACACAGAAAAAAAGAAGGGAAACTGCATGAGATTTCTTTGACTTAAATCATTGTGGCAGATTTTACCTTCCCTCTTGAAGATTTATTTACTTGTGCTCTGTCATCTGATAAGAGCAGGCTATGTCTTGAAGAACAGCACTGAAACTGGTTTTCTATTTACCAACAGAAAACAAGCAATTTCATTTGTTCTAGATAGAGAAATTCCTTTGGCTAGAGTGTGAAGATATGGTATTTGCAAATTTCCGTCATTTAAGTGGGTTGTTTTTTTTTCTTTATATTAAAGGCTGTATGACAATACCAAATGTCTCTCAGGGCACTTTTGCAGTCAAAGGGCCCACAGTGAGAGATGTGTATCTTTATTTTGAGGTATCAGGCATATTCCAGACAAAAGGATAGATCGGGCCAGCATTAGTCACTTGCTATATTTCCTTTACTATCTGTAATACACAATAAAAACAAATGACATGAATTTCAAACACTCCCTGCTCCCGTCCTCACTATCTCAAGCTTTTGCATTTACAGAATCAGTATTGTTTTCCTATAGTATTTTAGAGTAGTTCATGCTACTGTCGCTACATGCTGTCAAGTCAGTTCCAACTCATAGTGAACCACATAAGGTTTCTGAGGCTGTCAATCATTACAGGAGTAGAAAACCTCATCTTTCTCCCATGGAGTGGCAACTGGATTCAAATGGCTGGCCTTGCGTTTAACAGTCCAATGCATAACCCACTACACTATCAGGGCTCCTTTTTTTAGAATTACTATTAATTTATTCAAAAGTAACATTGAACCTAGAAAATTAGATGACCTAATTCAGTTAAGAAATAAATGCCTATTTAGGCAGCATGTAGAGCCAACACACTACAAAGCTATTCAGAGCAAATAATTCACCTTTGCTGTTATAACTCAGATTTAGATTTTAATATGGTTCATTTGGGAAGAAATCTGAAATCCTCTGACCCTTTAAGTCAGAATTCAAAAAGATGAAAAACACATATAAATGGTAACTGATTATTTCCACCAGTTTTTACCTTTTAAACATAATGCATCAACAATCCCAAAGCCTAAGGGGAAAATGTTATTGGCTACATTTCCTTTTATAATTTATGCCAGGCATGATGAAAACAAAACATACCAAAACTGCAAATACAATTCTTGCATGAAAATGCAAGAATTCTGCATTGCAAGTGCCGGAACTAAGGGGGAAAAGAAATCTTTGTTTCATTTATTTCAGGGTTTAATATTGTTGACTGTCACTTGAAAATAGAAGTTTAATCTTTCCATAGTTTTTTGTGGGTTATTTTACATTTTCCCAAGCATATCGGATTTCCTTATAACGTTCTTAGTAGCATTTATAGCATTAAAATCCCTTTCCCCTGGTTATCACTCTTCCTTTGGAATTCAGGAATGCTGTACAACACCATAATGAATGGGGTGTCATTCATTATTCCCAACCATGTCTACAATAACTGCTGGTGACCTTCAAGTTATTATCCAAATAAAATACAACCCCATATCACGGTTTGATTTATGTGACACCAGTGTTTGTTTACCCATCTTGTTGGGCCAACCACATAGATCATAGTAAACCACAGACACACAATTCTATTCATGCCAGGAAGATAAAATGCTTCCTCCCACAGCTGCCATAGGATAAGGTGGCAATAACATCATTTTCTTCTGATTAGGTATAGCAGGAAGAGTGAGTCAGGGAAGTATCCCACTCTGCTATTATTTAGACAAGTCACTTACTTGCTCTGAGCCTTAGTTTCTTTCCCTCCTAAAGTTCTTCATCCTACTATGGAAGTTCCTTTCCATCCTAAAGCTCTTCATCCTACCATGGAAGTGGGGTGAGAATGACTGCGAGTCAATAAGGCACAGTTGTGACAAGTAGACATGCAGAAGGCAAGTAGCAATTGGCACAAAACTGATTTTATGAGTAAAAACTCCCATACAAATTCCTATTTTATAACATACTGTTATTGTTGTTAAGTGCTGTCAAGACAGTTCTGACTTATAGCAACCCTTTATAGGGTTTCCAAGGAGCAGTTGGTGGGTTTAAACCATCGCCCTTGGGGTTTGCAGTCCAGTGCTTATCCTATAGTAGTAGGTAAAATAACTGGAAAGACTCAGTTGAGTTACTATTATTAACATGCTATCATTTTGGAGGAGAGCTTTGGCCCAATTCTTGACAAAAAAAAAAAAAATGAACCCCTGAAAAGTGTCTTACAGATGACAGGTATCATATACCTCAGAGCATTTTCTCCAGATTAAATATTTTATATTAAAAAAATCCAAATTTGTATTCCTTACATATTAAAGTCCACAAATCACTAGATGTAATGACTGGAAGTACAGCTACCAGATGTGCAGTACAGGACCACTGAAGTACAGTGACCAGATGTAGATGAGATAGGTTTTGTATTAGACCCGGTCCCATTTTGGAAGCACCTCAAGGGAAGCAGAGACAAGTCACTGCCCAGGTTTTACTTCTCACTGGAGTAAGTGATGAGCTCTGAGGCCTCATGGGTAATTGTGTTGACACCAGTGTACTATCTTTGACTGAGCCTCTCTTTCTGTTTTAGGATCAGCCCCATCCTCTGCCCACTACTCTTATTTCCCTGTGTCTTCTATGGTGTCTCTATAAAATGCCCAGCCATCTCTTCCTCCTGCCTGATTCCACCACATCTTCCTTTCAGAGATCAACAACAAGATGCTTTATTATGGAGAGGAGCAGGAACTGAGCCCCCAAGAGACATCTGAGAAGCTGGTGTTGGCCCAGAAGATGCTTGAGGAGATTAGACGCCGTCAGCCATTCCTCATCCAACGGGAGCTTGTGGATGAAGAGGCCGATGAAGTGCACGAGCGTAGGTGTTTTCAATTTCAAGATGTCTCAGCAGATGTTTGCTTTCTTTGTGGGTCTAAGAGAGGACAAAGAGTCTACAACATGTGGTCAAAGCAACCAATTCACACTATTCAGAGCTATTTAGAACCTATATGTGTACTCAGATATTCATTCAGGTCAACTTACCTAGATGAGCAAATTTTTAGACTCAGGCCTAACCTTGAGCCCTTGGAGAATAGCTGAGATCCTTCAAGGAATTTATAGAACTTTTACTCCTGTGGGAAAGAAGTATGATCTGAATACTTGGTTAAAATGTATAAACAAGGGAAGAAGAGTTGAGAAGAACCATTTTCCAGAACTGCAGTAAAAGAAATTTTCTCAAGAAGAAAGAAAAGCTACAAGCCCAGCCACATTTACATTCTCAGGGCAATGGGTGACTATCAGTTTGTTGTTGTTGTTGTTGTTAAGTGCCGTGGAGTCGGTTCCGACTCATGGAGACCCTGCACAGGGTTTCCGAAGCTGTAAATCTTTACGGGAGCAGACTGCCTCATCTTTCTCCTGCGGAACAGCTGGTAGTTTCAAACTACTGACCTTGTGGTTCACAGCCCGATTCGTAACCACTACAATACCAAAGCTCCTTAGGTTTTTATTATTTCAATTTAAACAACTTGTATTGATTTCCTCTGCACATCGGTGTGCTGCCTTTAATAAGAGGCTTGCAATATCTTTTCTAAAAATTCAACTTCCTTCAGATTTGGGTTTTATTTTCTACCTTAATCTAGTCTCCTGTGATTATTAATGGGCATCTCCTTAAAAAAAAACTCAGAAGGACCTTTGTACTAGCCCAGGGTCAGGAAGAATGGTGGACAAGCTGTGTTTCATTCTGTAGGGACCTCAGAGAACAGAAACCATGATGAAAGGGAGAAGAGGCAGGGTCAGTGGGGATGGGCAAGTAGGGGGCGCAGTGTGTGGAGGTCAACCCTGAGACTACATAGGAAAGCTAGCATGGTGTGTGAAACAGGAGACATATCAGAACCCAGCCAAGGAATGTGTACAGTTACAAGAATTGCCCAGGCCAAGAGTTCTTTACTGGGGTCCACAAAGTTTGTAAACTTAGATAGGAAATAAATTATTTCTTTATTTTCACTGACCTCCAGTTGATATTCAACATTCCCTTAATGATGAATATAGACATCTTACCATAGTAGTATTATCAAATCTATGACTTGGTCACTAACAAGCCACCCCAAAATTATTGGTTTAAAGCAATAACCATACTACTTATTTGTTCATAATTTTATGGATGGGCAGTTTGGGCTGGGCTCAACGTGGATAGTTCAGCTCACTCACATTCTTGGGTCTTAGCTAGGATGTCTTGGCTTTGCAGTCCAATAGAGTCTTAAGCTCAAGGAGGCCAGCCCACATTCCCAAAGGGCTCATATGGAAACTACAAGGTCTCCTAAGGCTCAGACCCAAACAATATCACTGCCATCCCATTGGATTGGTCAAAGTCAGTCCAGATTCACGAGGTGAGAAATTAGACTCCACCTCTCTATGGGAGGAGCTGTGAAGTATTTGTGACCATTTTTCATCCAAACTACCCATAAAAGAGAGCTCAGGTTTACACTACATTTCAGCTATTGACTATCTCACAACATTATTTAAACTCATCAAGAATTCAAAATTATGGTAGTTATTAAACCCATCCCTAGATCATGTTATTTAATGCTTTAGTAAACAAGAACATGTATTATTATTTTACCAACTGGGTTTGTATTTTGTTTTGTTTTTAATACATAAGTAGGGGTGCTACAAAAAGTTCAAAGAAAAATGTAACGGAAAGATAGTGAAATTTTTCCATGAACTTTTTGAAATCCCCTCATATTACTCTCCTTTTAATCTTGTGTAGTATTATGTATTACACATTGTAAGAAAGAATCTATAGTCTTCACTAGATTTCAAAGGGATAAGTAGTACAAACAGTGTAAGAACACTAGAATTTGGTCATCTTCTTACAATTGTCACTGTCAACTTTTGCTAAGAGTTATTATGAATATTCTGGAAGAGAAACAGTCTTTATATAAAGATGTATTGTGGTTTCAAGCATGAAAAGTCTTAGCAACAACAAGGACCAGAGAAAAGTCTTAGGATCAGGCTCATTTCTGAGTCAGGAGAAGGCTGGCAGTCAGGATGGCTGGTGCTCTGATATCACAGCTGCTACTGCCAAGCTCCTTGTTTAGTTTGGAACTCACCGAGACTACCTTGGGAAAATGGGACCTGTCTTGCCTAACTTCCTTCAGCATAGTGAGTGCCTTTCAGCTCCTTTCTTCACTCATAAATTGTCTGATCATCATGAGGAATTAAAATACAAAGCCTCAACAGGACAAACTGATGTTCCCTGAAGCCCACAGTGAGTGCCTATGTTTTTTAGAGCAGAGAACACACAGCTTAAGAATATCAAAATAAAAAATAAAAGAATATCAAAATAATGGTTTGGATTTGACTAAAAGAAACCTAAGATGATCCTGGAGAGAACACAGAAAATAAATAATTATAAATATAATTTTACCTTATTATTGAAAAGATCATCTTGGCTATTTTAATAGTAAAAACTATAGCACATCCCAGTCTTCTTTAAGTAGTGTAATTACTAATATTCTGAGTAGTGAAAAGCCTAACATTATGACTAGTTTCCATGTAAAGCACAGTGATATCAACAGGAATGTAATCATACTCTTCTTCTAGATTACTGTGTAGTCCAATGGCTCCCAAACTCTGCAAACTAGCACTCATAATTCAAATGTAGAACATAAGGATGCTTTTGTGAAAAACAGCTACCATCTCCATTGTGGAAGATGAGATGCCATGGCCTTATAAGTTTGCACCATTGCTAAATACTAGGTGGGATGGGAAAGGTCAAAGAAAACCCCAGGGTGAGTCTCTGTCTCCTTTTTGTCCCAGTGTTGAGTCAGGCTGAGAACTGGCAGCGGCTGTACAACAATACACGCACCCTGTTTCCTGTCGTCTTGGAACAGTTGGACGACTACGATGCAAAGCTGTCAGACCTCCAGAAATCAATTGACCAGGCCCTTGACCATGTCAGAGACACTGAAGACATGAATAGGGCCACAGCAACCAAGCAGCGGGACCACAAGGTACATTTCCATGCAGACAGCATGAAGTTACACTGAAAAAAGAACAGTTGGTATAAATGTTTGTTAAATAATGGTGCATTTAATGTCTCTATTTTTTTTAAATATTGGCACATTGGTTGCTGCTGTCATTTGCTAAAATGATATAAATGTGTGTGGCTAAGGAGTCCTGGTGTGGTGCTGTGGGTTAATGTGCTGGACCTCAAAGTCAGTTTGAATCACAAGGCCAGTGGTTCAAGCTCACAAGCCCCTCCTCAGAAACCCTATACACTACGGGTCACTATGAGTTGGAACCAACTCGATGACACTTAACAACAACAACAATATCAGGTTAAAACAATTTCATTATTCATATCTTGCATTGATAAGAATGCAATTATTCTTGGTGCTAGTGTCCGTGTGTATGGATTCATTGCTCTTGCAAGTGGATAAGCAATGTACTATTTCTATGCATAACTATTAAATATTGAAATCACTAGAACACCAACGCAACCCACACCCATGTTCCTGAGAGGGTATTTGTAATTTCTAGGAAAGTAGGATAAGCAAATCAAACTTCCTACAGCTGCAGAATAGGAAGAATGATGCAAAGCCATGCAAATGCAGAGTGGTGACAAAAGATCCTAGACATGTTCATAGCACGTCATAGCAATCAACCTATGAGGTCAAGATGTATGCATGCCCACATCTACATGGGTGAGAACTGCTAGTGGTCATGTGACAACTCCAAGCCGGCTAAGACTTCTCTGTTCCCAAGAGAGGATTCAGATAATTTAAGTACAAGAGAAACAACACTGCAACCTCACACCACCATTGCAGAGGTTCACAGATGAAAACTGAGAGGCCTCCACCTTCAGAACTGAGGGCCCTGAAAGGATAAATGGACCTGCCAACTCCAGCCAGTCCTGATAAGACAACCAACAATTCATAGAAGATTCCAGTCAGACCAGAACTTCCCTTTAGCTACAGGAAGTAAAGTTTTATTATCTAGGAACAAACAAGACCTATAACTTACTAAAGCAGGACCCCTTCTTCCTTTATACTAATGCAGTCCTTAGCAGAGTACCCCTGAATGATGACCTGTTACCATCAAGTTCATTCTGACTCATGGTGACCCTGTGTGTTACAGAGTATAACTAATGCCTCATAGAGTTTTTAACTGGGCCAGATCTCCAGAACTTTCTATCACAGTACCATTGAGTTCAAACTGACCCAGAAATCAAACCATCTGGGTCACTGAGGAACCTACTATTACTTACTGGTAGAGGTCAACTGTATATGATTTTCTTTTCAAATTGTGAGTTGTCAATCTCAGCAAAGTGCTTTGGATCTTCTACAAAAATAACCATGGCAGAGTGCACATGCAAGTATATTGTGTGCTAATGTGTTCAGTTCTCTGTTGACATAGGTGGACAATATGACCTATGTGATTTCAGTTCTAAAAGTAAATGCTTTGCAAAATTGCTTTTAATTAAACTTTTCTTATACACAATTTTTCATTAAACATTATGCATGTGGATATCAGAAATTTGGCATTGTCATGATTCAGACAGATGATAGACCTCCGATAGATTTGCTAAACAGACTTTTCCACTGAGTACAAATGAGCAAGAGTTCAGTAAGAGAAGATGCATGTCACTGAAGCATTTCTCAAGCCCTGTCAGTTCTTTCTCTTCCACACTCTGGATGTGGGCATTAGTCAAAGGTTCACCCCTTTCGCCCTCAATGTCTTCTCTCTAAGTAAGACATTACTTACTACTCTCACCACTTCAGTTCTTGAGAGGAATTTGTAGGTCTTCAAAGGAGCTCTGGTAGTGTAGTGGTTACAAGTTGGGCTGCTAACTGCAAGGTCAGCAGTTTGAAACTACCAGCTGCTCTGTGGGAGAATGATGAGGCTTTCTGCTCCCGTAAAGATTTACAGCCTCAGTAATGCTATACAGGGTTGCTATGAGTCGGAACCGACTCCAGGCATACCACCACCACCATGCTTATCCGTAACTACTCTCCAGGATGCAACTTTCATATCGGTACCTGTCTGTAGCAATTACCACATAGATTCACTCACTTTTATCTGCTAAAAGCAACATTTTCTGCCAAGTTTTCTTCCATATTTCGCCTTTTCTGTTGGACTAGAAATTGGGGGTATTTTCTCTCCCTTACAAGTCCACAGGCTCCAAGTCAGCCCCTCTACCACAGTGGTTCTGTGAGTGACAATTTTTCTAGCCTCACCTATGAATGGTTTTATAGGCCTCCTCATTGGGCTGCCTGATTTCTTACCCACTTGATATTACTATCATATGAGACTTCCTAAGTTTTCCTAAGGAATAAATAATACATTATAAACTCTTTTGAAAACCTTCAGTGGCTTTCAACTTGTTGTTGTTGTGAAGTGCTGTCGAGTAGGCTCCGACCCATAGCGACCCTGTCTAGGGTTTCTGAGGAGCAGCTGGTGAGTTTAAACCGCCCATCTTGCAGTTCAAACAGCTTTGCAGTCTGGTGCATTAACCCACAGCACCACACCAGAACTCCTTGTTGTTGTTGTTAGGTGCCATCGAGTTGGAACTGACTCATAGTGACCCTATGCACAGCAGAATGAAACAATGTCTGATCCTGGGCCAACCTCACTACTGTTGCCACACTTGAGTCCATCAATGCTGCCACCTGGCCAATCCATCTTGTTGGGGGTCTTCCTCTTTTTCTCTGACCCTCCATCTTACCAAGCATGATATCCTTCTCTAGTGACTGTTCCCTCCTGACAATATGTCCAAAGTATGAGTGACGAGGCTGTGCTCTTTGATCTTCATCAGTAAATGTTTTAAGTCCTCTTCACTTTCAGCAAGCAAGGTTGTATCATCTGCATATCGCAGGTTGTTAATAAGTCTTCCTCCAATCCTTATGCCACATTTTCTTCATAGTCCCCAGCTTCTCGTATGATTTGCTCAGCATATAGGTTGAATAAGTATGGTGAAAGAACACAACCTTGTCGCACACCTTTCTTAATTTTAAAACACTCATTATTCCCATGATCTGCTCAAACAACTGCTTCTTGGTCCAGGTACAGATTCCTCATGAGTAAAATTAAGTGTTCTGGAATACTTATACTTCGCTATGTTGTCCATAGCTTGTCATGATCCACACAATCAAAAGCCTTTGCGTAGTCAATAAAGCATAGGTAAACATCTTTCTGATATCCTCTGCTTTCATCCAAGATCTATTGGACATCAGCAATGATATCTCTCGTTCCACGCCTCTTCTGAATCCAGCTTGAACCTCTGGAGGGTATTGTAACCATGGAAATGAAATGACATATGATAGGATGAATGTAAAGCTAATGTTCTCCCATGTAAACTATCACATAATTCACAATAAAAGATTTTTTTTTTAAGTAAACTACCATCTAATCCTTTAAACGTCAGGCATAGAGAACTCTGTGGAGCACATTTCTTGTCGGACACAGGTTAGGTCTCCATGAGTTGGAATCTGGTAGCTGTGTCATCACTTTCATACTCAAAAAGAAAAGTTCAAAATCGTTCTTGAAGTATAATGCTGTGTGATAGGAAAAATATCTGTATGCCTACAAAAAGACCAATTCATACCACTAGTATTCAAATTTGTACACCACCTACTAAAGGCTATGATGATGAGATTGAAGAATTCTACCAACTTCCTCAGTAGGAAATTGACCAAACATGTAATCAAGATGTTTTGATAATTACTGGCAATTGGAATGCAAAGGTTGGAAACAAATAGGAAAGATCAGTAGTTGGAAAAATGGCCTTGGTGACAGAAATGATGCTGGAGACCGCATGATAGAATTTTGTAAGACCAATGACTTCTTCATTGCAAATAATTTTATAAACAACATAAAGACGACTATACACATGGACCTCACCAGATGGCATACAAATTCAAATTGGCTACATCTGTGGAAGAAGACAGTTCCATATCATCACCAAAAACAAGGCCAGGTATGCAACAGACCACCTATTGCTCATATACAAGTTCAGGCTGAAGCTGAAGAAAATTAAAACAAGTCCATGAGAGCCAAAATGTGACCTTGAACATATCCCAACTGCATTTAGGGATCATCTCAAGAACAGGGTTGATGTATAGATCCTAATGACCAAAAACCAGAGTTATAAAATGCTATCAAGAACATCATACAGGAAGAAAGCAAAAGGTCATTAAGAAGACAAGAAAGAAAGAAAAGACCAAAATGGATTTCAAAAGAAACTCTGAACCTTGCTCTCCAGCATAGAGATGCTAAAGCAAATAGAAGAAATGAGGGAGTAAAAATGATGAATAGAACATTTCAAAGGGTAGTTTGAGAAGACAAAGTCAAGTATTATAATAAAATGTCAAAGACCTGGGGTTAGAAACCAAAAAGGGAAAAGCACACTCAGTATTTCTTAAATTTAAAGAATTGAAGAAAAAATTCAACCCTCAATTTGCAATACTGATGTGTTCTATGGCCAAATATTGAATGATGCAGAAGGCATCAAAAGAAGATGGAAGGAATACAGTCATTGTAACAAAAAGGAATGATCAGTGATCAACCATTTCAAGAGATAACATGATCAAAAGCCAGTGGTACTGAAGGAAGAAGTCCAAGGTGCACTGAAGGCCATGGCAAAGAACAAGGCTCCAGGAACCAATGGAATACAAATTGAAATTTTTTAATAAACTGATGCAACACTGGAGGAACTCAGTCATCTATGCCAAGAAAATTTAAAAGACAGCTAGCTGGACAACTGATTGGAAGAGATCCATATTTGTGTCCATTCCAAAGAGAGGTGAACCAACAAAATGTAGAAATCATCAGAAAATATTATTAATATCACAGCAAGTAAAATCTCACTAAAGATAATTCAAAAATGACTGCAACAGTATTTTGAACAGGAAACTGCCAGAGGTTCAAGCCAGATTCAGATGAGGACATGGTACAAAGGATATCATTGCTGACTGCTTTACTGACTATGCAAAGGCTTTCAACTATGTGGCTCATGACAAGCTGTGGACAACTTTGCAAGAAATTAATGTTTCAGAGCACTTAATTGCGCTCATGAGCAACCTGTACATAGACCAAGAGGCAGTTATTCAAACAGATCAAGGGGACACAGCATGGTTTAAAATCAGGAAAGCTGTGTGCCAGGGTTGTATTCTTTCACCATACTTATTCAATCTGCGTGCTGAGAAAATAATCCTAGGCACTGAATTATAGGAAGAAGAATATGGCTAAACCAGCACTGTGGGATAAGCACTGGACCACAAGGTTGGTTTGAACTGCAGGTAGGTAGTTCAGACTCAGCAGATGCTCCTCAGAAACACTATACATGGTCTCTATGAGTTGGAAATGACTCCACAGCACTTAACAACAACAACTATATATGGTTATGTATGTATCATATATTTGCATATTAATATTATATTTATATGGAGTCCTGTGTGTGGCACTGTAGGATAAAGCACTGGGCTGCAAAGTTGGTTTGAACAACAAGATTAGTGGTTCAAACCCACCACTGCTCCTTGGAAACCCTATATATAGCCACTATGAGTCTGAACTGATTTGATGGCACTTAACAGCAACAACAAAATCTAAAGATTTTAATAAACTGATTACATTCAATCCATTGTCCTACTTCACATTTATAGAGAAATAAGTCAAATGTCCTCTGATGTGTTCCTTCTTTGAGATGATGATGTCAAAAATTATAACCATAAATAAATTTTGAGCATCCCAAGGTGTTCACTTTTGTTAAATCCATATCATAAGTGAGAAAGCTGAGCATTAGAGGGGTGGTTTCCCAGAATATCACAAGTTAGTGGTGGACCTAGGACATGAACCAAGATTTGTCTGAGTATAAAACAGCAATTTGTTTGCTGTATATGCCAATGTACCTGATACTTATTCTAAAGAACATTGTTTTTCTCTCTGTCTTGCTCTTCCCTCCTGAAGAAACAATATGAGAATGTGAGGGAACAAATGGAACTGGTGAATGCTTCTCTGAGGGCATCTGGTGATTCTCTGACAACCTCACGCCTGACTCTTTCAGAACTTGATGATATAATCAAGGTAAGAACATGTGATTTATTCAGGTTTGTGTTGCTAGCAAGTTAAAACAATGGTTCGGTGTCACAGAAGAATAATCTAATTCAAATCAAATCTATCAAGTTAGCTGGCATTGTAAAAATAATAAATGATGACTGAAATTTTCACTTTCTTGCATTGTACAGTGGCCACTAATCACATATGACTATTTAGGCTAATTTTTAAATGATTTAAAATCAGATAAAATTAAATTTTTAATTCATCCATTTGAATATCTGTTTTCCAAGTGCTCAAACCCGGCCCATGGCCAGCATCGGACAGCAAAGGTATCTTCCCAGAAAATTCTATTGAAAGCCCAGATGTAGATCCATCCTACTCACTCTTTACTCACAAGTTGTGGTTTGAATAAAGCTGGCACTTGGGTTTAATAAGGATGGCACTCAAAAATTGATAAAACTCACATTTGAAAAAGTAGAAATTTTCCAATAAAATTCAGTGAACAAAACCATCATGAAATCACATAGCTCATGTTTATTATATCTGTTGTTGTTAAGTGCCTTTCCAGTCCGTTCTGATGCATTAACAACCCTGCATCGGGTTTCCAAGAAGCAGCTGGTGGATTTGAAGCAGTAACCTTGTGGTTAGCAGTCCTGTGCTTGATCTGCAGCACCACACATTTAGCAGCCCATAATTTTATGGCCATCTGATCACCATCTCACTCTTTATCTTGGCACCAAGTTCTGTGTTTTCCTCTCCATTCCAACCTCCATCACTGTTCTAAGAAGACAGCAAAATCCATATGCTTGAGCGCACCATCTTTCCACTTTCCGGTTCTTTGAACTTTTCCTTCCCAACAAGTTTTTTTCTCCAATTCATATCTGCTTTCTCTCCTATAGTCACAACCATATTTTGACATCAGTAACAGAACTCCCAATTCAATTTTTAAGCACCTTTCTCCCAGAACCCTATCTTTTGCTTCACTTACCTTAGAATCCTCACTCCAATAATTCTCCAACTACACTGAGACCTACCTCCACCACCTCTCATCTCCTTAGAAGTCAAGATGGCCAGACTTCATCTCTCATATCCAACTCTCTCATATTTTCTCTTTCCTTCCTAGGCAATTAAGATAATCAATATGATTCTTTCTTACAAACCCCTTAACTTCCATATTCATTTGGTCCCCTGCTGTACTCACCTGTGAACTCTAAACCCCTGATTAAACAAACCTAAGTATTCTTTCTAGTATTAGACTGGTAGGTAACTTATCTCCCCTTCTATCAGTCCTGTCTAGTGATTGTGCTTCTTACTTCATTGAAAACATTAGAAATAAGCAGACCTCGTGTTTCCTTTCCAGTTCTACAGCTCACCTTCATCTGTTTCCACATCTTTATCACCATCCTGTTATAATTAATTAATGAAGTCAAATCCTTCCACTTTTCTCTGAATCCCATCATTCCTCACCTTGAAGCAGGGTTTCTAGGTTTCTCTTCCAACAATAGTCCCTGGGTCTTTGAGTTATCCACTTGTCCCTTTACTGAAACATTACTGTCAACATACAAACATGTCTAGTATCTCCTATCTTTTAAATTTTTAAAAGAAAAACAGCCCTTGCCCTTACATGAATTAAGCTTCCTTCATAGGAAGGAAACATCAGCAGTATGGAAGAAATGTTTCCTGCTAACAGCTTATGTTTTCCAAATAAAAAGAAAAGAAAGGGATCTCTTTAGAATTGGGTGGGATTGAGGGAAGAACCATTATTGGCTTGCGAGTGGTGGCAGCTACTGGACAGCTATTTGTGTGACTGAGAGAACAAATCTTTAACATTCAGGGTCCAGCTGAAGTTGTAAGTCAGGACCACAGCAGCAGCAGAATGCACAATTGTGTGATTTGGGGGACTCAAAGTGCCTTTGAGTCAGTTGCAACTCATAGTGACCCTGTATAGGGTTTCCAAAGAGCAGATGGTGAGTTTGAACTGCTGACCTTGCAGTTCAAACCAACCTGTGGTCCAGTGTTTATCCTACCGTACTGCATCCAGACTCTAGAGGAAGGCTACGGTTGGGTTGAAAACGTAAAGAAGTAGTGACATACAGTGGGTGCCAGGGAGGGAGTCCTGATGGGGTGCCATGGGATAAGCACTGAACAACAAGATGTGTTTGAACCTCAGTGTTGGTGGTTCAGATTCACCAGTCACTTCGCAGAAATCCTATTCAGGGTGGCTATGAGTCAGACCTGACTCAACAGCACTTAACAGCAACAATGACAACATGGGAGGGAGTAGTCAACCAAATGAAGTATAGTTGAAAGGTCAGATGGGGGCCATATGATGCCTATTGGAGTTAGTCACTTAGATGTCTTGATAACACCATCAAATGGAGTAAAAACCAGATTGGTTAAAGAATAAATAGAAAGTGAGAAAATAGAGACAGCAGGCATAAACAACATTTTTGAAACATTGTGATATGAATGGAATAGAGAGGTGGGGTAGTAACATTAGGGAGATGTGTGGATAATGGGGGAATTTTCTTTAGTTCAGTTTAATTTGTTTTTAGATGGAAGATGGCTGAGCATGTCTGAATGCTAGGAAAGAAATACAGTCAAGAAGAATGTATTGAAGTTGCAGGAGAAGTAGACAAATATTTTCTGATAGTATTTTAGGCTCACATATACTTGACCTGAAATTTATTAGACTTCACAATAAGAAATAATAGAGTATCTTTTGGAGTTCCCTGGGGGGGAAATGTCTTAAGTCCATCTCAATTAAATTCATTGATTTAAAATTTTTAAAAAATTTTTTAGAATGCATCAGGGATTTATGCAGAAATAGATGGAGCCAAAACTGAACTACAAGGGAAATTGTTCAACCTGAGTAACCTCAGTCAAGATTTGGTCCAAGAAGCTATTGATCATGCACAAAACCTCCAAATAGATGCTGATGAAATGAACAGGTGAATTACTGATTTCAGAAATGCAAATAGTATCTATATGGGCTGGATAAAATGAAAATGTTTTTATATAGCTCCTCATGCCAAAGCTACTGGAATGCACTGTTGGTTTTAGAATGGGATTGGTTGGTTGGTTGGTTGGTTGGTTGGTTGGTTGGTTGGTTGGTTGGTTGGTTGGTAGGTAGGTAGGTAGGTAGGT